TTGACTTTAAACTCAAAACCAACCCTAAAAAATAAAATAAAAAAACCCAAAAAACAAAGGAAATCTCCTTCTGCCAGATATTAAAGAGAACCAACTTTATCCCTGCATTCTGTGGACCCAGACCTCAACCCAACTGGAAAAGGACAGAGAGATGCTGCTGGGATGGGGATGGGGCTCTCCAAAATGTAGGTGGGAGAAAGGACGCAAGGAGGGAACAGACAGAAATTATTATGTTACAGGACAGTACCAGGAAAGACCCCTAAAAGTTCCTCAAACTGCTGGACTCTCCTCGTGTCCTCAGGCCTTCTGAAGGAGCCAACCTGATCCATGGCTGCTGGAAACACTTTTGCTGGATTTCAATGACCATTAAAGCAAACTGAAACTAAAGCAGAACCAAAAGCTTCCCCTATCTCTCTGCCTGACCATGGAGGAGAGGCTCTGTCATCTGCCCAGACTTGGGATGGCCCTCAGAGGAGAGACCTTCCCAGAAATACTGTGACTCTGTTAGGAACTTGCTGGAAAGGTAAAAGGTCCTGAAGCCATTCAATCCATTAAAAAATGGAAACGAAGCTGAGCAGGGACTGCATTTACACACAGCACTCTGGAAACAGAGCTGAGCAGGGACTACAGACCCCTGCCGTCGGGGCTTACAGAGCACACACTGGGAAAAGGCAGGACCGAGTTTTGGAGAGGGAGAGGCAGAAAGCCCAGGAGCTACAGATGAAGCTGGGCAGCACTTGGTGCTTGCACACAGAGCTCAGGCTGTAACCTGGGCTGGCAGATTATTCAATGTGTCCAACAAGGACAAGCCTGGAAGTTACTTCCCCAGCCCTCTGCACAGATTTCAGCTGTGTAACTGTGGCATCATGACCAGGGCCAGAGCTGCAGAGTGGTTCTGACTGGCAGATGCTGCAGCATGGGCTCCGTGTGCTCTTCTCCTGCAGACACCATACAGGTTATCTGCTTGGTAAGTTTTTAATTGCTCTGTGAAATCAAGTCCCATGAAAAACTGGAGAGAGATTACAAAGCAAACTGGTGATTTCTTTCTAAAACCCTCCATTACCTCCATCAGAAGTTGGAGACTGACAGGTGTCATTAAGAATGACCACACTGTCTCTAATGGAGACCAAGTGGAGGACATCAGATCCCACTAAATTTATTTTAAGCAGGGAGAAATGTGATTTATGACTACCAACTTTCACTTCACAAGTTCTACTGCAAGTAGCTATCATGAGTCTGCTACCATGAAAAATCCACCCCAAAGGCACATCTCACAGCCCTGCTGTAACAAACTCCATGCGTGACGATGATGAAGGAAGGGCGTGACTCAGTGCGCGGAGGGGCAGCTGTCTGCAGGTGACACAGGCAGAGTCAGGCTGCTGTGATGCTGAGGTTGGGAACCACCGGTTTTAAACCACGTGGGGTTTTCTCATCTGAATACTGCTTTGGCTATACTGTGGCTCTGTTTACACACTTGGTTTCATTAAAGATTCACATCCCGTTGCAGCCTGCAGCTCCCGGCCCTGCAAAGGTCAAACACCGACACGCGAGGGAGATGCGGGCACACTGGGCAGCTCTGCCCGCGGGGCAGAGGCAGGGGGAGCAGGGCTCCGAGCGTGCCCCCTCCCCAGGAGCCAGCAGCTTTCCGGGGGGCTCAGAGCAGAGCTTTGCAGTGAAGGTGCTCCCCAAAACAACCCCGTCTGGAGCAGACAGCCCTGGGCACACCCTGTGCACGCTGCCCGAGCTGCGGAGAGGGCTGTGCTGCGCCATGCCTTCTGCGATGAAGGAAACACTTCCAAAGTCAGAATGAAAATTCGATGCAGGTTGTTTCACATTTGTTTCTGTCATTATCTAATGAGCTGTAAGTGCATTCATCCAACATCTTGAGAACATTTTGGTTTTTATTATGGCCACTCTTTCTTTACTTTTTTCTTCTCTAAACCCCCATCATTAAAAATCAATTAGCTTATGGGGTAACATTACACAGATGCTGCTGCAGCAAGGGGCTGACATCTGCAGTGGCAGCAGCTCAGATACCACAGCCAGAGATGTTCAGAAATGCCCTGAGAGGACAAAGCCCCCTTCCCTGAAGCTGTGTTCTCTCTGATCAACAAACCAGCTGAACTTCCAGCGCTCCCCCATCTCCTGCGTAATGAGCACACTTCTCAAAGCACAAAGAAAAGTTTAATTGTCTTTAATTACCCAGTTCAGGGAGGACTGGGTTTCCTGCCTGATGTCCGTATAATTTCCCTGCCAACAGCTTCATCATCCCCTTACTGGCTGCGAGGGCAGATCCCAATGCTCTTCCCCAAAAGCCACCCGGTTTTTGGAGAGGGCCGAGGGGTGGCACAGGCAGGGACAAAGTCCCCGTGTCCCTGGAGCGCTGCTCAGGCTGCCTGGCTGCTGCAGGGTGGGAGGGAGCGAGCTGCAACTAATGTGCAATCAAGAACCATCACAATTACAAATGTAAATGAACAGGCAATTGGCACTGACCTTTGCAGATTGTTAGAGGACTAATTAAGGTGTGATCAGAGCTCTTCCAACAGATTGAGATGCATCTACACAAGCAAATATCTACTCACTATCTCCAGACAGCACTGCTCTCTCCTACATGCTGCAGGCAGCAGCGAGTAGGTACACACAGAGTAGGTGCACACAGAGTAGTACACACAGAGTAGGTGCACACAGAGTAGATACACACACAGCAGCACACGCAGCGTTCAGCCCCAGCAGCAGCACTCAGCACAGCAAAGGGATGGAGCAGGAGGGCCATGGGCAGTGAGGTGACTCCACTGCAGCACACGAGGCCACGGGACACAACACACCTCTGGACCTGGACTGCAGCACAGCAACAACAGCCACTGTCCCTCTGTGCCCCAGACTGCCACAGACCAGCAAAGCGCCATGGACAAGTGCCCGTCGAGGTGTCTGAGCCTCGTATCCAACACCACAGAGACGCCGTGCCAAAAGGCAGTGGGAAAAGTCCAGCCAGAGGTCAGCAAACAGCAATGAACACCTTGGTGGGGACTGATGGGGACACAGGAGAGACCCTGCCAGAGAGCAGGAGGAGACACAGGGCACAGACCGACACTGTCCCTGCGTCCCCCAGCCGAGCATCCCCACACCTGGGGGATGCAATGGGATCACAGTGAGTGGAGATGGGAGCTCCCCTTCTTTCCCTGGGGGTTACAGCAGCTTCTCATCCACACCTGACCCCCATCCCTGCAGGGATGCCTGGCCCAGCACACCACTGAGGTGCCCCGCTTCGACCAGCTGAACCACGGGCTCTAGAGTGCTTGAAATTAAGTATCTCAGCTTAAAGTGACTTGCAAAACCAACCCAAGATACCCCTTTGCCTTCTGCAGCCTTATTCTTGCTTGTATTCATAACCTTTGAAATACAATATGATCAAGAAATTGTGTCTTGTTTGCTGTCAGTTTTTGTTGAAGAACCAACAAGCTTAAAGGAAATCAAAATATTTGTAAATCGAGCTTTCCTTTCAGTGACTTGTCAAGACTTTTACTTCAAAAATAACACATTTTTTAAAACGATCACCAAAGGTTTTCAGTCCCAGCCAGTCAGCTCCTGCCCTCCCAGTACCTGCCATGTCCTAATCTGGGCAGTCGGACAGCACAGATAAGGTTTGTACAGTAAAAGACAAGGCAAACAGAAATTTCTAGAGTAAACAAGGTTTTCAAGGTTGTTCTGTCTATCACAAAGGGCACGGATGGTTTCCCCTCTCTGCTCATTTTGCATCTAAGCGGCTCAGAACGCAGAGCCGTGCCCAAAGAGCCCTTTGGAGCTGGGGATGCTTTCCTGGGCACGGGCGCCTGTCCCCCGGGCTGGTGGCAGTGCCACGCTCCTGCTGTCACCGTGGCCTTTGGGGAGCGAGCTCCCTGCTCTCACTCTGCTGGGCCACCAGGGTCACAGACTCGGCAGCTGCTTCCACAAGACTGAATTTAACTCTTGATGAAACATCTCCTGTCCCACTCTTGGGGTGTTCTGGGTTTATTTCAGATCCTCATTATTCACAGACATAACAGCAACAAGACCCAGACCCAGACGGGAATTCAAGGGACATTTCTGAAACCCACATGCTCTCCCTCAGCTGCTGTCCCTTCTCAAGCCTCTCAGCCAAGATCACCCTCCTTGTCTCCATGAGCATTCACTGCAGAATGCCAGTTCCCCAGACGGCTGTTTGTAGGATTTACCCATTTTCACAGCAGCCAAAAAGCAATGTCCTGCTTGGAGCTATGAGGGTTGTGAAGGGTTTTGCTCCAGCACATCGTGCCTTGAGCACACAAACCAGCTGACCCAGGATGATTCTCCCCCTCCCTCCGGAAGGGCTTCAGGAGACCTGGGTTTTTCAGAACATTCAAAACGTCTCAATCCATTACATGACTAAACAAAGTACAATCTTTACTCCATCCAGCCTAGCTGCTCTTTTTAGGCACACTAACTCCTGCTGGATTCGCAGCTGCAATCCCAGCCCTATGATCTGTGTGAGCAAATGTTTCACACAAGCCCTTCACTGCAGAGGGGACATGGCAAGCAGACGTGGCAAACTCACATGTCCTGCCCACCCCTTTTGCCCAGCTCCTCCTCCCAGTCCAGAGTGGCCGCAGTACCAGAAATCAGTGCCAAGCTGGCACAGCTTATGCTGGTGCTCAGGGCATCACCTGACTCATTGCAAAACATCTACTGGTGCACTGTTTGTGGAGTTGTCCAGATATGACAGTATCTTTAGATACTCATACAGTATTCCAGGGTTTAAGACACCGACCTGAACCAACACACACACTTCAACCTCGCAAACCCCACCTCAGGCAGGTGGGATTCCTGGAACGTGTTACTGATAATGACCATTATGATAATTACTGATTAGCCGTCAGCGCCCAGCAGGGAGCAGAGGCAGGGCCATGGCCCCGTTTGTCCCCAGCAGCACAGAGGGTCAGAGCCCTGGCCCGGCCCCGCTCACGCCCAGCAGCAGCAGCACTCACCAGCCTCGGCAGCCGGGCACTTGCGGATGGTGAAGATCTGCCCCAGGTCCTCCTCCTCCTCAGGAAGGCCCTTCTGGAGGCGCTGCAGCTTCCGCAGGCTCTCGCTGCGCTGGTGCTTCATGGAGCGCACGTGCTGGATCAGGTTCAGCTTGGCCTTGGTGGAGTAGTTACACAGCACACAGTGGTAGTAGCAGCTTTCCCCTTCCACCCCGCTCTCATGGTGCTGCAGATGCTGTGGGGAGCAGAGAGAGGGATGTCAGTGACCTTCATCACCCCCAGCCTCCTGGGTTAGCCCACTGTAAATCGCTAAAAGCCACCTGGGAATTAGCTAAGGAACCACATTTTGACACAGATCCACTGAGACAACGCCTGTTTGTTCCAAGGTATTGCACCATCTCCTGATGAAGAGCACAAAAACCAAAATGCACGGAAATGGGCCCAAAGCACAGAGGGACACAGCCAACACCATCTCCCTCAGCGAGGGAAAGCACCAGACACAGCAGTACCACCTGCTCACAACCCACTCAGGGCTCATTCCTTCACACTCACACCTTGTCCTGGGAGGGGATCCAACTGCATAACAAACTCAACATTAAATTTGGTGAATTCTCATGGAAAACTAGGAAGAGTAAAACCAAAGCAACCCTAGGAAACAACAAATCCACTAGATAAAGAGGTCCCGGACCCAGTGTTTGGAAGCAGGGTGCAGAGCCATTCTGTCCATCATCCAACTCTCTGCTCTCTGGCATCCAGGATTTCCTCCCTTGGATCAGGAAGGAAGCAGCAGCCTGGCCTGCAAGATGGCTGTGATCTTGGCTGAAAAGCCAATGGTGAGCCCACAGCCAGGTACCGCCTGGAAAAACCCTGTCCCCTCCCTGGCTGTGCAGTCACAGCCAGCACAGCCCATGCTGGAGTATCATACCACAATTATCTGGCAAAACCCATCAATCCCCTGGTACACAGGTCCATGCCTCTGGGGAAGCAAGCAGCCATTTCCTGTCATGGATCCCACAGACATGGACATTCTTTCTTGGAAGCAGAGGGTAGAATTCACCCTGCACAGCCACACTGGCCGCCACAGCACAGCTGTGTCCCTTCCCCCTGGGCAGCAGTAAGGGAGTGTCACTAGCTGAGAAAAAATGAATACCAAGGGGAAACAACACGAGATCCCTCCATGAAGGCCTTTGGTGTTTCCACAGCTGAACTGTTAGGTGTGTTATTGCACACCCAACAGTTCAGCTGTGCAATACTGCCTGCCAGCTCCTTCCATCCAACCCCGAGACCTCCCTGAGTCTTTGTGTCATCTCATGGAGCTCTGAGCTCTTTCCTCAGCACACTCTTGGCCCGAGGCACAAGTACAGCGATTTGGACAGGATCTTGAGGTTTGTCAATCAAAAATATTGCCTACGTGCAGCCAGGACCTTCTAGTAAAAAATTCTGATGCTTATTATCTCAGTTACAGCTGAGATAAGATTAAAGACACATATTACCCAGCGCTGTGTGCCGTGCTCACACGGAGGAAGGAGAGCCCTCTGAGTCTAGGAATGATTAAAAATAGGATATGAGCTGATGCTGAGGCTCCTCATTGGAAGAGCAAGGAAAGAGAATAAATGTATTCTAGATCTGGCTAATTAGACGAGCCTCTTTTGGGATCACGATGTATTTAATTAAATTCACTGTAATATTTGAAGAATCCACAAGGGCACTAATCCCACTGGTGCCCTCAAAAGATTTTTTGCTGTTTTCCCTTATAAGAACTTCTTCCTCATCTCATTTCTATTGTTTGCATGCGTTACCCTCTTCCTGAGCCAGAAAAAGACGAATGGCTTAAGGCACGAAAGGTCAGCGAGCCCGCCACGAGAGCGGCGTGCCCA